GGCGAGTGAAAAGACATATCTTAGGTTCGTAAGAAGCCAGTCTCACTTCCAACGGTTCAAAACAAGTCATTCCCATTTGAAGAATCTCACTTCAAACGGCTCAAAACAAGTCAGTCCCATTTCAAGAAAAAACGCAGTGAACCGTGAGCAGGTCGAAGCGCAAAAATGGATTTGTGTGCGCTTCATCCTGGTCTCAAAAACAAGCGGCGAGCAGATATCCTGCGAGCAGAGGCTCAAAGCAAGTTGGTCTGACTTCAAGTGTCAGTCAAACAGAAAGTACGCAGTAAGTGCGCTTCAAGTCATCAGCTCCACTCTCGCGGACAGCCCAAGTTCACTCGCTCTGAACTCTTTTTCCACACTTCGACATTGGTTTTCAGTTAGTTCAATTGCCACGATGAGAAGGAAGGCGATGGAACGGCAAGGTAAATGGGTCCGGTCACTTGAAATGTTGAAAAATGTTTCCCTCGCTCTGCTGAAAAGTGCTGCACATCTGCGGTGGAAAGGTGGGTTTAGGGGAGGAAGCATGAAACACCATGGAAACAAAAAGCGAGAGTGGACAGCTTGTCAACAGTTGAAAAGGCAGGTACGTGAACCTGGCATCCCAGGTTCACATCCTCTCCAATCATCAGTATTTTTTTTGCACGAGTGGAGGCGCTGTGTGTGCAGGTTGCGCACAAGTCACCTTAGTCGAGTGTCAAGAGAGTTACAAGCCAGGTTGCAACCAATCAGGGGAAGGAACAACACGAAACAAGCCCCCAAAAAACCCAACACAAACAAAACCAACACAAACAAAGAAAGGGGAGCAACCTGTAGTGCAACTCGAGGTGCCAGGTAGGCATGAAAGAGTGAAACAGGGGCAGTGAATTCAGCAAAAGCCCTCAGTAGTTCTTGTCCATCAACGAACTGTCAAGAGGATGAGCCAGACAGGCACATCCATGCATGGGCTGCTGCGCTCGAAAGTAGATATTCATGCGCAGCAGCTGGTTTAGTTGCCAAGGTTCTTCACAGTCAGGCTTAGCATAAGAGCACGAAGGAGACAAATGACCGGTCTCACAGTGCACTTACATGCATGGCGCACGGGATTCTATCTTGGACTTATCTGCAGTCAGGTAATCAGCGTGACAGCCGGCAGCATCATGCCTCAATGCACGCAAAGAAGTGACACACTGGGAAGACCACGGTCCCCAATTTCGGGATGTCCAACATACCGAAAGCAAAGACAGTGTAATGCCACAGGCGAGCTCTCAAACAAAAAAGAGGCAAGGGGGGTTGCACCTCCCACTCCTCCCCACAAGGGGGAGGCACAGAGGCAGCAAATCCAGAACTCTACTACCGCTACGGCTCTTCACCGAGAGCAGAGCAAGATGTGCTGCAAGATGTGCTGCGCGAAGGCAGACGAAGTGAGAGGAAGGCCTCCTCCCCTAAAGTGTGCTGCAAAATTGTCGCATTGGAAACCTGACAAGATCCTTCAAACGCGGCCAGGTATGATGCGGCCGATCCGTGCAGGGCCCCATGAACTACACGAAAATAGGTGAAACAGAGTGAGACGCCGTTTTCCTAATTCTGTACACTGTACCCATCCAGAACCACTACGCGGGTAGCAGCCTGGGCACTGTCTAGCTACTCAGGCCAACGAAAGCGAAGAGCAAAGCGAAATTGATTGGCACTCTTAGGACCAACACACGGGCGCTAGTCAAAGAGGCTAGCCAGCGAGTGTTGAGGTATCTTTGTAGCCGTGTGTGGCAATTGGTCCTACTATCCTCCAGGTCCAAGTTGTCAACTTTTTTTTTTGAAAGTAGTCCTGGGTGTCTATGCAGTGGGCAAGTACTCGTTTGGATACTCAGCGAGGATAGTCTCTAGCAGAGGTAGGGCCAGCACACGGGTGCCAGCAGGGAGGCATATCAAAGCGTTGCCATATATGGTTCTGTGCACCTTTAGTTGAGGACTCTGAAGGAGTCATCGGCCCATTGATCCTCGTCTTTTGGATTGCGCGGTATCCATCGAACCCACTTTGGCATATCTAGGTTATCGCACCTTAAAAACGCATTGGCTCGCGAGTATGCGCCTCGCCAAGTCATTCGTTTGCCTGTTCGTTGGAATCGATTGAGCTGCGTGCATCCTGCGAAGGCCCGCCTCTCAATATAGAGTAGGGTTGGTGGCACGCTGACTTCAGTCAGGGCGGCGCATTTGAGGAAGGCTTCCTGCTGGATCCTTCGCAGCTTGTTCGGAAGCTTCAGGTGTTGCAAGTGGTGACAGTGGGCAAATGCACAGTTCATAATTTCTGTGATCTCTGTTTGCGAGAGATCCACTTGTAGCAGTTGGAGGCAGCGTTCACATGCAGCCGATCCTATCCATGTAAAATCTGAAGGCAAGATTAGTGAGGTTAGGCCAGCTTCCAGGAAGCAGCACTCCGGCAAGGCCCGCGTCACACTGTTAGCATTGTACTCCCTAAGCTCGAAGTCAAGTTGTCGCAGTGCTGTACATCTATGAAAGGCGCGGGGCCTCAGCTCGGCTTGTGGAGCTAGTTGATTTGTAGCGTCGTTTCTGAGTCCGACTTGCAACAGGGAGCAGCATTCAGCAAAGACCTGTGTTCCAAATTCTTTACAACCTGGAGCAAGGACACTGCGCAATGCGTAGCAGCGGTAGAAAGCTCGCGTTTGCAGACTGGTGACTGCGCTGGCTAGATGCACTATTTGGAGGTGTTGACAATGGTGCCATGCACACTCCCCTATGATACGATAGCCGGCATCCACCTGTATATGTCGGACCTTGGCTACATACGAAAAGGCCTGCGGGAAGACTCTATCAATGTAGTAGAACGGGACTCGCAGGGCTTTGGCCTCGCCTTGTATTTGGCCCTTATGTTCAGCTACGACTAGACAAGGGCTCACAACGACAGTAAAGCAATTGCAGTCTCGCAGGGTGTGCCAGATCGGATCGACCAACTTCTGCTGTGAGTTGCAGCAGAGAAAGTCCAGCTCGCACCCGAAGGTGCTGCTGCTACCTATTTCGGGAAGTTGTTCCAGAACTGCACTTTCAAATTCCTGGAGGCGGTCAAATTCTTGAAGTTCAATAGTCAGTTGGGCTTCCTCTCCTGACAATGTGGTCAGGATCAAGTGGAGAACCATTGACCTTTCTTCGCTCCATTGCGAGCTGGACACTGAAATGTGATCAGCGAGCATGGCCGAACGTGGACTGACCTGCACCGTGTCTCCGTCTGAGCCTCAAGGGTCTGCAGCAGGCTGCAGTTGTTGCTTGACTGTTTCTTGACTGCTGCAGCTAGCGGCTGTTACTGTTTACAAGCTTGGGGAGAGACAACTGCACGGGCAGCCATCTGGATGTGTTCTCCTAGGTTGGCCGCGCGAAGTCTTCTTCCTGAGACTCCCAAATTGCGTGCGCTGTCTACCCCGTACCGATAGATAGCAAATTCCTTCAGGGACAACTAGTGCCTGACACCCTTCGAAGGCGCTGGCTGCCACTTGTAGGCGGCATCTATCAGCCTCAGCGCCTCGGTAGGTGAGGCAGACTAGTTTGCTGCACCCGGCAAAGGCTCTGTGTCCAATGCTAAGAAGCTGCCGTGGAAGCGCTACTGCGCATAGCAAGACACAGGCTTCAAACGCCTCAGCACGAATTTCGGTGAGGCACCATGGCAAGGTTACCTGTGTTAAGGCTCGGCAATGAGAGAATACTTGCATGCTTAGAATGCTCACCTGTGTTCGTGACAAGTCAATCGCAGTCAATTGCTGACCCGCGCCGCAGGCAATTGTCGAGAGGGTAACTGGCCGTGTGGAGCGGTTTGGGGGGCCATCATCGTGTTGGGGTCATTGGAGGAGCTTGCTGGGTGGGCTTGGAAGGCTTCAGTACTGGCCTCTAGGTCGATGATTTCGTCCGTAGTACTGCTCTCTGTTTCTTCTGCTTGCGCTCCTTCTGTCAAGTCTCTCCGCTCAGCAGCTTTCGCAGCACTTGCGACAGCTGGACTCGTCAAGGTTGGAGCTGTTCGCTTGGCCTGGGCTGCATCGTTATCACTCACGGAGACAACCGTTTCGATGGGTGACGCTGCTGCAGAGGGTTCTTCAGAGGCCTCTGCTGCGTTCGTCTCAGAGCCTACTTGCTCTTCTTCTGTACTGCCAATCATGATAGGGGAGGTCGGGGATTCCGTTGCCTGACCTTGGCTAGCAGGTTCCGGTACTTCACTTGGAGGTGAAGTCTCCTCGCTCTCTGCTGAACTGGTCTCGGTGAGGCTAACTTCTGCACAGGCAGCACTTTCTTGTGTGTTTTGTGTGCCGTGGCGCTATCAACCCTCTCTGGCGTGGGTTGCCAGTAGCAGCCATTTTGCAGTAGACCTGGCCGAGGGGGGAGGCGTAGGGGGGAGCCTGGCTGGTTCAGTTCGATTTTCCACCTCCACGCATCATAGAAATAGATTTTATGGAGCGACTCAAACTGATAGTCCTTGGCTTTGTTGGCAGCATCGCCAGCCTGCCCAGCAGCATAGCGTGGACCGCTGCCTACACAGAAGCGGTCACCCCCCTTGCGGGCCGCATGCAACAGTTTCCAGGCTTTTGGCTGGTGCCCATCAGGCAAAACATACCAATCCGGCTCTGTGCTTCGGTCAGCTGCATAGCCAAATAACAGGCCACTGTGATGTATCTTTCCGTGCACTGGGTGCTGCTCATCCAGTAGCGCCCGTTCTCCCTTAGTGAGGTGAGTTTGCGACGTGAGGATGAGCCTGAATCGCCGGGAAAGACCCTGGTGGTACTCGACAAGACAGACAGGGAGCAATCCAGTCCAAAGTGGCTGTGGTTCCACCGCACCGGGAAATCGCCCTCTACAAAAGCTTTTGATGTCTGTTGATCATTCGTGTACACTTCTAATCCGCAAAGCCCCATTCTCTAAAGGTGATCAGTTTTTAGGAAAAAAATGTGATTGTGCATCAACCATCTAACATGAGTTGCACTGGAGGCAAGCGCAAAATTGAATTTTTTTCACCCCCATCCATTTGCTGCACACACGCTGTCGTTGGGTAGCGTGATATGCCCAGCCGTGTTGAAACCCCATTGGCCCAGGCTCTGCCTGGAAAAGTATCCCAAATGTAAGTTCATGACAATCGGGCCTTCTTCGAAGCCTGTTCAGAACTGGAAGTACTGATGGCGGATTGTTCCGCTTCTGTGAGCGATCGCCACCATTCCCACGCCCATGCCTGTACACAAGCTTCTGCCTGCGCTTTGGACCGTTTAGTCCCCTTGGCAAAACACACAGATCCAATGAACGATACCGCTTTCGACTTGCGGTTCTGGTATTTGAACCCTGAAGGCAGGTGACACTGAACGAAAGGTGAGGCGGTCTCCGCCTGTGGCTCACCATAGTTCACTTTCACACCATCAGGGTACGTTCCACTCACTGGACCACTGAAGACAGGGCTTGCATGTGGCCCATCCACTCGCTCCTGAAAAAACAGTATCGAATTGCGTTGACAACGCATATAACAACTACATAATATATCAAACATATATCAAACAGGTATCAAAAGTGTTCCCGGGCACAAAAACAGAAGCTCTCAAACGAGTTACTCGACGTTCGGGACCATCGCCATTCATCGCGTCGTCCTTCAGAGCATCATCAGGGCTCACAGGGGCCAAGCCTTCTGAAGGACCTTGTGTAGACGGCTCACCCTGACACGCAGGCTCTTCCACACAGTTCAGCAAGAACTCATTCTCTGCCTCCTGTTCATCGTCTGTAGCGCCTTCCAGCCGGTCGTCGCCACCATTGTCGTCGTCGTTGTCCTGAAAACAGGGGATTGCATAAAACTACAAACATGTGCATATGTATATGACATTAATGCTTCATATGTTATTTTCCGGCGCGTGCTAAAAAAACAAATGGACAAACTAGAAACCAATAAAGAGTGACAAGTGTCTGCCTTCTTCTTTCGCGATTCACGAATCTCTTCGAGCACTTCTGAGATCCAGGATTCTGATCTCTTCATGTGTTTCAAGAAGAGCTCAACTCGATGACGATGGTCCAACTTGCCGTGTCCCTGTAAATTGATCCGAGCACACAAGGAGCTGAGCTTGGAAGCGCTGATTTCCTTGATGGCATGGTCTGCCACATAGTCCAAGACAGTAATGTAGTCCCCCTCCTGCTGCCAAGCCAGAGTAGGTGCCAAAGCCAACCCTGTGCCAACCACCACGGGCTTGGTAAACGCAATTTCAACGGAGGCGTGGTCCTTGACGATCACCTCTGCGCGAGGAGCATCCCACGATGACATAGTGTAGACATCATTTGTCGACCCACATTTGCGGAGCTGAAGCACCAAGACACTGTGAGGTCCAGAGCGAAGAGTCAAAGCTGGGTATTGCCCCTCAACTTTCAGAAAGCACTCACCTGGCACAAGCTGTGACAGCCACAAATGCCGGGAAAGCTCCAACACATGGTCTGTTTTCTTCTCCACGTCTCCTTCAGCTTGATGAAACTCACACTCCAACAAATCGAAAAGGCGAAGGCGCTCTGCTAAGATGTGGGGCTTGGTGTAGGCGGAGTTGTTGCGGTGGCGTGTCAGACCAGAACAGCTGATTCCCAAATCCCTGTCTGAGGCCCTCAAGGATGAGAATATCGTGGCCCTGACTTGTTTGTCATGAACCCCATCGGACCAGTCACTATCATCCAAAGCCACTCCCTTGCATCCAGCATTTCTTTGCAAAGCCGATTTCACACTGACGCAATGTAGCCCAGCCATATGTGTCTTCTCTTGTTTCTTGCTCCTTTTCACAGCATCGCGCAAGTCGTTGAAGCATAGCTCATTGGGGAGTGAGCTAAGCAAAGAACTGGTTGACTGATCGCTCATGCCAGCCACAGCGCACACAATCTTGCGAAATCCCTCACCAGTTGGTGTGCTCACCGCTGCTGGTTCGAAGTCAAAAAGCCTGACCACTCCAACACACGGATGCAATTGAACAGTCCAATTGCAATCTTAAGAACTATTACTAGGTACAAAAACTATCGAACAGTATCAGCCAATCACAGGCTCAGCAGCTCAGCTTTCGAGAACACATCACGGAAGCACTGGTATCTCGTTACTTGGAGCAAAGTATGTAGGCTGTGGTTGGAGCGAAGCTTGTCGCAGAAATTCAGCACAAATGCCCACTTCCGCTTCATGTCCTTCATGAGATCTGCCCAAGAGCTGTGGTCCAGGGCCCAAATGATTCTCCAAGGGTAGCTGAGCTGGAAGCGGTCAACCTCGGAAAGTGATGCCAGCTGCGCAGATAGAAGAGAGCTGTGAAAACGCAAGGACTCCTCATTCTCAGGATTCGAGCCTAAAGCTCCCACATAGTCCAATGTCTTTTCCTTCACGCTGTCACTGATCGTTTTCCTTCCGCAGCATCAGAACAAATTACACATAGGAACTTCTGGTGTTTCGGTTGTTCCACCCACTCGAAACAACTAACTGTCTTCAACAAAAAAACACTACAAGGCCAAGACTCGCAATCAGCTTCTGAACTCGCTTGCCGGAAGCCAAGGATACAGCGTGTTTGACGCTTCCATTTGGGGTTGACTGCACGTCTTTGTCCTCGCTCGATCTCCAGATAGAGTATTGACACATGTTTTCTTGACATGTATCTTGACCTGAACCGCGCAAAACAAACAAAATAAGTAAAGTTTAAAGGTTCTATCTGAGCGTCATACTCGGCTGCATATTCCCGAATGGCGCCAAAAATGGTGAGGAAGCTTCTCAGCCGGTCCTGATTGGTATCATCAGCAAGAACCTCAGGCACCAAAGGGCGTGTGTACGCACAATAGTTGCATTCCCCCCTTGATATTGGCTTTTGCACTCAGCAAAAAGGCAGCTCAACCGAAAGGCACTGAACAGTAACACATTACAAATACCCAGCATTACCCAGCAACTGTCCATGCATACTCCCTAGACTTGTAGCTGTTGTCTGCCTCCTTACCAGCAACGTCCATGCCAAAGGGGTTCTTGCCCTCCATCCAAAAGGCGGCACTGTGGACCATCGCTTCGCAATGCCACTTTCGGTTCCAAGCCACTGCATGGTCGTACCAAGAGTACCACCGACTGTCTTTGCAAACGCTGGAGTGGAGGTGCTTCCCTTCAGGGCAATAATAGCTGTATACAAAACCCACAATTACACAAACACACCACATGGAACACATCCATGGAAACCGTGGAGAATGGTTTTGTCAAAGGGACCTGAGGTGCTCTTGAGCATGTCCTTCAGCATGGTTTCGTCGAAGTCACAAGCCTCTTTGCCCACATCGCGGGCACACCCTGTATGCCACATATCATAGATCTCCCCGAACTGGCCCTGGGCGACTGACTCCAGCAAAGTTCGGCGGGCGTCTGCAAGAGTTTTGCCATGAGCGCTGTTTCCAAACGGGGCTCGGGTCGCCTTGAAGAGCTTAGACATTTTCTTAAGAAATGCCTTTGCCCCATCAGCCAGCTTCACTGCCATCGCTGTCTTGCGGACACAGACATGAAGCATGTCGGGCCACATTAGCGACCAAGAACCCATGTGGTTCAGGTGGAGAAAGACCATCCACCCCTGAAGGGAGCTAGGTACGGAGAAATTATATAAGGTAAAGTTCTCTGTTGGAACAGAGTCAGTTCTATCACGAACCCACAACAAAGCATAGAAGCACTTTGGCAACAAGAAGCCTCTGCGCCACAGTCACACGCAAAGACCAATTTCCAAAAGTCCTCGTTCAGGTAGAAGTCCGGAACCTCAGTGTGTGCCTTGTAGTCGTAGACAAACTTGACTGGCTTGTCCCCGCGCCCAAAAATCGCCCTTTCGTCTGGTAACATGGTCAGTCTCTCTCCGGTCACTCCAGCTGGTCGCAGCTGGTTTGGTGGAACTGTGTGAGCTAACGAGAATGGCTCTGGCATGGTGACCTGCAAAGCATTTGCTACAGCTGACCGCGCATTCTTGGTCGCTACCCTGAACTCTTTCCACTGGAAAGAGTCAGGAGGAAGCTCCAGCTTTTGGCGTCCATCAGCAGGAAGACTCCCATTGAAAGCCAAAGCTTTGCTCATGTCCTCCAAGGCTCGCTTGCTTTGCTCGGGTGAAAGGCCTGTGGCCAGCATCTGGGTTGCACCCGCGAAGTGATGCCCTTGCACTCGCCATACAAAAGAAAGGACCTGCATCAGAAAATGAACGAGAAAAGGCCCTTGGAGCAATCACCGCCTACCGCATGAAATAAGACACAAATCAAAGTCTTGGTCAAATAAGACCCAGACATGTTCACCAGAGACAGTCGCGGCATCAAACGCAAAATTCAAGACCTTCGGACATGAAGAGGACGCAGCATACTCGTGCATGAACTGGGCCGACTTGACCAACATGCGGCAAGCATATTCACTCGCAGTCTTGTGAGCAAAGGCGCTGTACTTCTGACAAACCCCTAGCTTGTGCAACTCGACCTCGTCTTTGCTTGTCACGAAACCTCCCCCGCGACAGGCAAAACGGCCACAAAGCTTCATTTTCAACGATGGATTGCCACGAAGACGAGAACTCTTCTGGAACGGGTGCGCGCATGCCTTGACATGTGGATCTGGGCACTGAACAACCAAAACCTTCTCAATGGATTTCTCAGCACCCTGGCACCAAATGTGCACGAGTCTTCTGGTAATTTCCTTCAAGTCCTCGTTTCCGCTTGACTCACCAGCACGCATCCGCAAAAGTGCGATAATGATGTGACAAAGAGGAGCTGTGGCTGCTGAAGAACTTGTAGAGCCAGGCAGCTTCTTCAAGAACCTTGCGCCATTGTTTGTGCAATAAGTTTACTCCGGTTTTTCGCACCAAATTTGTTTGCGTTTCTTTGTCTTCAGATTTCCCTGGTTACATGCAAAACACTTGCAAATCAGCGCAAAATCCACTGGCCCCGGTCTACGTCAGGGACTATGTGTTCATGGTATGGGGAGTTGGTGAGCACTGAGCCATGTCTGCCGGCTTAGCCATCGCATTGCCAAGAGATTGACAACAAATTAATTGACATGAAAACTCTGTCGATTCTTTACTGGTGTAGTTATCACTTTTGGACCTCAATGTTTTTGCTGGGAATAGCGTGGGCGCGGATTTGGGCTCGATTCCTTTGATTACGCACTTCCTGGACAAAGTCTAAGGCCCCAAGTCGGGATTGACTTGGCGTCAGGGCTCTTAAGTTTAGCGGTCCTGCGCACGTGACCTGTGCAAGCACAGACAGCAGTATAGAATGATCCAAATGAGCCATTCACGTTGCCCAGCGATCTGCAACAAGCAGTGCATAATACCGTATTTGTCAAACATGTCATGGTCCCTTGCGTTGATTGCGGTAGCCTTTGGTGTGGAGACAGCGTGTGAAACAGTCACTCTCTTCAAGACCCCCTGAAGAAACACTATTATACCAAAACCTGTGACGCGATGTCGGTTTTGTTTCACAAATGTGAAAGAATCTAACGCAAAAATGACACTCATGGGTTAACAGCCTTCTCCTGAACAGTACGCTTGACACTCTTCTCTTCTTCCCTCAACTCTCTGGAGTTCTCATCCCCTGTATTTGGGAGGGTGGGTGGGCGCAAGGATCACGTATCTTTTCATTGGATTGCTGAACACCGTCTCCACCCCCAAAGGCCCAACCTTGAAGTGAAAGCCCCTATCATCCACAACAATACAAACAAAGGTGATGAACATGTTCCGCTTCCAGCGGAGAGCCTGGTAATGAAAACAATTCTAGTATGGACACAAATGGTTAGTTATATAGACTGCTGACTGCTGGTTGCTTTTGCTTCTTTCCTTTGGTCTACACAGCGCCGAGTCCCTGCAACATGCATAAACCTTGGAATGGTTCCTGGGGTCGGCGGCCACAAGCCCCCCAAAAAGAGAGCCAGCTCTTTAACAGCGGTTTAGTTTAAGACTCAAAGACTGCGGTTTCGTTCCAACTGCTCACATTTCCTGGCCTGGCCTGCTCCAGTCCAAAGACTTCTTCGCAAACACTTGCTTCAAGCTGGAGAGATCGGCGCGGTTGTGGGACACTTGCAGGACATACTTCAACTTGCTGGAAACAAGGGCAATTGACTGGGAGAGACACATGTGCTCCTCGACTGTTTCAAGTGTCTCAGCCATCACGGTGGTTGCAAAGTCGGTCAAGGTGTGGGCCTTTGCAAAGGAGGCAAGAATGAGAATCATGCCCGGCACGGTGGCGCAGTCTAAGGGCAAAGCCCTTTCTGTCTCTACACTGCCCTTATATGTTGCACGCCGAAGAACCTGGGCAGACGCACCCTGGATCTTCGAAAAAACAAACAGGCAGACTTGTCTAATCACACATATAGAACATGAAAGCTACAATTTGTGCACAGGACCCAGCAGCATGTCCGGAGGAGAACTGTAGTTCTTCCATGAAGGTCGCCACTGAATGAAGGAAGTTCTTGCTGTACCAAGCGTGAAATGGTGTTTTGAATTTGTACCATTCAGCAATGCCGAGATAATGCTGGTATCCATCGACACCACTGTCAGTCACCTAAGCGATCTACAAACCAATGTCCTTTACAACAAAGTATTACTTCCTCTTTACATTGAATATGGAGTGCTTCGTGACCCTCTGTGAAAGCACACACCAATGGCATAAACATCCTTGACCGCACCTAAAACTCACCGTTGTTTGGGGGAAGTCTTTAAAGGCTTTGACATCTTCAACAAATAAGGCCGGAATCCAGCCACCAAAGAAGCCTTCCCCACACACGAAAAACAAGTTAGTTGTGCAGCGCGCGTCAGAAGGCTATACCTAATCACTGCCTCTATCATCTTAATCTGCAACCAGCGTAGGCCCCAAACAGTTTCAAAACGATTTGTTGGGACCAATAGGCCACAGAGTTCAGGGGCGGGGCCAGTCAGGGTGGCCAGCTCTTTTTTCAATGATAGAGCCCCAACTAACAGTAAGCTGCTTGGGGAACAAGAGGAGGACAAGACCCGGACGCAGAGCCAGGCCAGAGTTCAGGGGCGCGGCCAAGACAAGGACAAGAAAAGGACAAGACCCGGACACAGAGCCGGGCAACAGAGCCAGGCCATAGAGCCTAGCCACAGAGTTCAGGGGCACGGCCAGTGAGTGTGGCCAGCTATTTCTAAGATAGAGCCCCAACAGTAAATTGTTTGGGGAACAAGACCTGGACACAGAGCCAGGCCACAGAACCCAGCCACAGAGTTCAGGGGCGCGGCCAAGACAAGCACAGCCGGGCCACAGAGCCCAGCCAAGAGGTCAGGGGCGTGGCCAAGACAAGGACAAGAGAAGGATAAGACCCGGACACAGAGCCGGGCCACAGAGCCCAGCCACAGAGTTCAGGGGCGCGGCCAAGACAAGGACAAGAGGATGAGAAGGCCCGGACACAGAGCCGGGCCACAGAGCCCAGCCACAGAGTTCAGGGGCGCGGCCAAGACAAGGACAAGAGGATGAAAAGGCCCGGACACAGAGCAGGGCCACAGAGCCCAGCCACCGAGTTCAGAAGCGCGGCCAAGACAAGGACAAGAGGAGGACAAGGCCCGGAGACAGCCAGGCCACAGAGTTCAGGGGCACGGCCAAGACAAGGACAAGAGGAGGACAAGGTCCGGACACAGAGCCCAGCCACAGAGTTCAGGGGCGCGGCCAATGAGTGTGGGCAGCTCTTGCTTCTAAGATAGAACGCCCACAGTTGACTGTTTGGGGAACAACATGAATACATATGTACATGTATGTATATTTATGTACATGTTTGTGGCCCGGTAAACACAAGCATCATCTTCGTAGACGCTAGATGTGAACCAACATCATTCATCTTGTGTTGCAATCATAACGAACTTCGCCACTTTGGGCCCTCATCCCTGCAACACCCCCACCCTCCGCAGCAAGTTCATCTCGAAGCAACACCATCCTCGCGAATCAACATCAACTTACATTGCCACTGCAGGCTCGGTTGCAATCATACATATATACAGGTCGTTATCGCGAATGTCTTCGATAAAGCCCAGCGAGAAACCCCTTTGTATGAATGCCGCGAACATCAATAGAACCCCACCCCACCCCCACCCCATCTATGACGTAGCATCAAGTATGTTTGCAGGTACAAGTGACGTCAAAGCCACAAAAGCTCAGAATATGCATAAACGCCCCGCCCTTTACAGGCGAGGCTACCTCAAACGTGTAACTGCACCTCCACCCAGGTTTGGGGTCCCTCTCTCCCTTCCCCCTCTTGGGCAAAACGCTTTGAGCACTGTCCAGGTAGACTTGTCGTTCACCAAAAAGCGAAATGCATGGGGCACCATTGAGCTTGATGCGGAACTCTTCTCGCTAGCAGTCCCGGCAGATTCAGATTCAGGCCGCATTTTCATCAACTGATCCACCAAAACCTGAGTTGCTTCCTCACAAAATAGCGGTGGAAAAGGCAGGTGGTCTCCATGGACAGCCTTCAAATCGTCAAGACTAGCTCTGAACTCTGAGATGGTCTCGTCGATCTCTGTTCGTGTTTTCATTTTCATCCACATGCGTTCTAGCTCCACCCAGCGTTTTACGATCATGGAGCGAAGCTGGCACAAGGCTTTGTCACGTTCTGCTTCGAGCTCAGATTCATTTTCTTCAATTCCTAATACTTCTGGAAGGTGTGAGATGGCCTGTCTCACTGACGCCAACCATTCCTCCTAGGCATGAGTTGGTCATAGTTGTTCCAACAACCCCCTGGTAAACAGGCACTGCCACACATGAACCTCCCAATCCCCAGTCCTGAGTCTGGCTCTTACCGCCCAGCCGCGTAGGCTGAGCTGCTGCAAGCAAGGGAAGCTCCATGCGACTGTTTCCCCTAGACCGCCTAAGGACACAAACCTCGCCTTGAAGCAAAAGCCCACAAGCCGCCATTTATGAATGGATGGATGCCTGACATCTCACAACTTACAACATCCTGGAACACAGCTACATGTCAAAGGGCTTCTGGCAGGACAGGACGCACACAATGACTTTGGCTCCGAGGTGTTCTAGGTGCACGAGTTGGCCGTGATGTAAACCACAGCGCAGCCATGCTTTGGCTAGTTGGCGTGTCTATAGCACACGCTACACAGCCCTTCAATTCAAAAACTAACTCGTCGAGACACTCAATTCGAATTTTCGTAGTAATACAAGATCCTACAGAACTCACACATGCAATCTGGCCAATGCTGAGCATCTGATAGCCAATAGTCTGCAGGGATGCCGGGGATGTTGGGCAGTCCCAAATCTTCATCGGGTTGGCTATCCACAAGGACTACACTAGAGGCCGCTGGCGCAGCGTCATGGGCAGTAGATTCAGCGCGTTGACTCTCTTCGACTGCAACAAGCAGTTCGCTATCCCTGTCCGTCTGCCGCTCTGGATCTGGCAGCAGTCTGGCAGACTTTATTCCAGGCGCAGATCCATCATTTTCAGTGAAGCGTCTTCTTTTCCTTGCAGCTCCAGAAAATGGAAGAGCTGCCATGGAGAACCGTAGATTCGGAACACTCAAGACAGGGAAAATATTCGAGCCGCTGCACTGCCTATAGACAACAAAACCCATCCTTGATAACAAACACAGCTGTTGCCACACGATGAGGGTTGCGCGTGTATATAGAAGGAGACAATGTTAGTGGCGTCACACGCAACAGTATGCACTTGACACGTACACGTGGCTGCTAAATGCCGTGGGTCAGGGGGTTTTAGGGGAAAGTAATTTTCAAAAAGAACTTAGAGGGTTTTCCTGGGGAAGTAGAGGATTTCAAGTACCTTCTCTTACCAGCCATCTCTAGTGGGTTGAGATCACACAGGTTGCAACTGTTGACAAATTAAAAAATACAGATTTTGTCTAAATTTCATGAATTTCTACGACGTTTTCTTTTGAATTCTGTGTGAGATGACTTCTCCTACCAGCCATCTCTGGGCCATTGAGATCACATAATTGATCGAAAACCATTAAAAACTGCTAAAAAAAACGAGTTTTAGCCGTTTTAGCGACGTTTTTCTTTGAATTCTGTGTGAGCTTGCTTCACCTACCAGCCAATACCAGCCATCTCTGGGCCATTGTGATCACATAATTGATCGAAAACCATTAAAAACTGCTAAAAAAACCGAGTTTTAGCCGTTTTAGAGACGTTTTTCTTTGAATTCTGTGTGGGATTGCTTCTCCTACCAGCCTACCAGCCAATAACAGCCATCCCTGGGCCATTGAGATAACATAATTGATCCCAAACCACCAAAATTTCATTAAAAAACACCTAGCTTTTGTGATGTGTTTGCATAGTTTCTATGATTTTTGTGCTGTTGTTCTATTTTGCTGTTGTCAACATTAATATACATAACATTACGGTGAATCTGTTACAGGACAGTACGGCTGAGTTCCAATGTTCCAACATCTCATGGACTGGCATTGCGCTGCCCTGGCATGTGTTACAGTACGGCTGATAACATTCCACACTGAAGTTGCAAGGAGGCCAGCGCCTGACAACACAAGCACGTTGTGAAATCCTGGCCTCGCCAGGAATTATTCATCCTGCCTGTGTCTTTCACACATTGGATGATGATGATGATGCATTTTGCAGCATATCATTAACAGGTGTAACTGTGTAACAATGCCCCTGCTCAAGTGTTGAGTGAAGAATATGTTGTTTTGCAGCATGTTTCAGTTTCAGAGATTGATTGTTTTTGCCGGAGAAATTCAACTCGCTTAATAGATGATTTTGTTTGCGCATTGAGTTACCAGCAAGACCAGCCAAAATGTAAGGAACCTAGTCCGGAATCCAACCTACAAGCAATTGACTCCAACCTAATAGCACGCGATAGCCTCCAACTTACAAGCAATGACCTCCAACCTACAATATAATAGCAATTGGCCTACAAGCAATGGCCTCTAACCTAATAGTGATGGCCTCCAACCTGACACCTCCAACCTACAAGCAACGGCCTCCAACCTACAAGCAATGGTCTCCAATGATCTCCAACGTATTAGCAATGGCCTCCAAACTTACAAGCAATGGCCTCCAACCTAACAGCAATGGCCTCCAACCTAAAAGCAACTGCCTCCAACCTCATAGTGATGGCCTCCAACCCACAAGCAATGGCCTCCAACCTAACAGTGATGGCCTCCAACCTAATAGCAATTGCCTCCAACCTACAAGCAATGGCCAGACCAGACAGAGAAGCGGGACGGATGTTGGAAATATTGAGTTCTGTCTGAAAAATTCTGACTTCTGAAATGGAGACATGGTTTCACAAGCACATACAGCAAGAACACTTCACTGAACACACCCTTTTTTTTACGGACAGCATAAGAAGTCTCTGTGACTCTGTCTGTGAGCTGCTCAGCAGGCGCACCAAACGGAGGAGCTGTGAGTCGTTGAGGCTCTAGCTCTTGGCGCAACAGCGGGAAGTTACACACTAGTGAGAAGTTGAGAAGGGCCAACACACCAGTAAGACAAGCCCTCCCTGTTCATTGTGTTCCTCAGTAAGCCTTCAACCACTCTCAGTCTAGGAATCAAAGCCCTGTCCCTTTGAAGCCACTAAAAGCAATGGAAACAGGGCCAACCTTGGATCCAGAAATCAAACGTGATCAGTTTAGAATGCAGGAGGCAGAACAATTCGTTCACAAAAAACGTCACAAAGACATGTCGATTTCAAACACACTGCAAGACTCAATGCTAAAAAAGGTGTAAGATTGATTCAAATCACAATTTTGTCGAGATTCAAGAACTCCCCACCAGATTCCATATCCAGTTGCGCAACAAATGCAAACTATGCTGCGTGAACAGACCAGTTAGGCCAGATGGATATTCTTTTTTACCTGGGTAGTAGGCAAGTTGGCACTGGGCATTGGAGCAAACCGTACCTGCGCCAGGGCTGAACAATTTCAAAACTCAATATCACCCAATCCAAAACACATTCAAGGTTTCAATGACATCAAAGTGACACAGAGACCTATGACTGGACACTGGCTCCCGTGTGTCTCAAAGCGTCACTCAAAAAATTACATCTTTGGATAGAGATTAACAGACCCAAGACACTGCAGGTTGCGCGCTCACATACATTTTCCCTCATCATGGTCATGGAAAATCTATATAAACATACAAACAAAACGCCCGCCGCAGGCGGGAAAAAATATGTCAACCACACTCACCACCGCACTCGCCACACGGAGTTTAGGGTCTAGGGCTTTTCCAAAAGAACTTAGAGGAATTGTCCTTTCTCGGCCCCA